TAACCTATTGAGGAGCTATGGACACACCAAAAAAGCACCAAGATCACTTCAAAAAAGGTAAAAGCCAGGCTGCTAGACTTTGTCCCCAAAACAATCTGTCCCATCATGTGGGGGCAGTTGTGCCCAGAAAGCCTACAAACCCAGGCACTGCAACTAGGTTAGAAAACACGAGAGACACAGAGGTGGGGTAAACACAAAGCTTCATGGAGCCGTGAGGTCTAGCCGCCAGCACTGGACTAGCATCTATTGGAAGGTGTACATTTTACCACCAGTGGGGGCACCCCAGGGTCTGCAGAGGGCCACTGTTATTTTAGAGAGATGCTGCTTCTTCACAGTTAGCCCCTGACTAAGGAATCAAAGATGCTTAGAAAACAGACGAGCTGGGGAAGAACACAGCTATCCTAGTCACTAGCCCCTTCCTTGTAGCATTGGGTCATCTAAGCTCCAAATGCTTCAAACCACAACCAAGCAACCTGTGTGCCCTCTGGGTGAGGATTAGAGCCCCAGAAGAAGAGAGATGTGGAAGGAAAGCAAGATCCAAGGATACTGTGTTGGGCTGGGCGTGTTGCTCAGTGGTAGAGTGTAGTGTACATATATGAAAGGCCTGGGTTTGATCCCCAGCATCACAGAGAGGAAAAGGTGTCAACAGGGAGTGACAGCTCTCCAGTGAGATTGAAACTCCCAGTCTCACTTTAATTCTGCCAATCTGAACTTGGAAGGAAAGGTCCTGAGAAGAGCACAAATAAGAAGAGGTCCCTGAGTCCTGATCAGGCCCAGCTGGGTGAGGCCTGGCTCTTTACCTTTGATAGTCCTGGAGGAGTGGGGTCCACCATGCCCTGGGGTTGTCCCTCCAACCAGGAAATCTTCAGAGGGTTATCCACCAGGCCCACTTCATTCTGGACAGCCAGCTCCTGCCAAACAGAGACCCAGTCCTCGTCTCATCCATCAAGTTAGCCATTTAACTTGTTCTCTCTATTCCCCAGAAAGAACCAGCATTCTAGTCCCACAAACAATGATGGCAACCTCAACTACCATAAACAATAGTGTGCTAAAACTCTGACCCTTCTCATGGGAAAAGTGGTGGGGATCAATCTTCTGCTTTGGGGGAGCAAGGAGAAGGAGTAGGAAGGAATTCTGGGGCTCAAATCCTGAAAGGGTGAAGGGTGGAGGGTGTACAGCCAGTTGGCATGAAATTAAAAGTCAGAGCATTCACCCTAGGACTTGGGGGTCTAGGCTCTGGGATGGCCTAGAGGTCACTTGGAAGTATGGATTACCAACTTGGAGGGCCCATAAAAGTGGGTCCCTGTCCTAGAATGATAGGGACACCAGTGGTCCCCAAGTCCCCTGCAGGACTCACCGCAGCCTTGACAGTTGCAAACTCCACTATGGCAGTGCCTGCTTTCTTACTTGAAAGCACCAGGTTGAGAACTTCACCATACTGTGGAGACAAGAGTGTCTAGTAAGCATGACTGGGCTGCTGGCCATGCCTAGCACGTGCCAGAGACCAGCCTGGGCTGCCCTGAGGCCCACTAGGGCATTGTTAGCATGAGGATAACTTCTTATTGCTAGAGGCCCAGAGAAGTGAGAACAGAGATGAGAAAGAAATAAAGATTTTTTTCTAGGACTGCAGGACAACAAAGGACTAAGGACAGAGGCTGGAATAATGGCACAGTTGCCTCAGCTAGTTGAAGGCAGTCATGAAGATAGGGTTTTCATGCCAGAAATGCCCCCCTCTCTCCCAGCACACTCAGCCAAGCCCATGCTTCCAAGGTAAGGGCTAGATGGGTAATGAAGGAGAGACCTGGCTGGAGTGGGCAAATAGCAACCCAAGGGATAAGAAGATCATAGATTGGAGAAAAGTCTTTAGGCTGTCCCATGGTCAGCCTAAACAAGAAATAAGAATAACAAAAAGCAGAGATGTTCAGGGGCATAAAAAATCCTGGGGTGTAGGATAAGCTATGTGCTGAATGTCAGGAAGGGAGAAAATCAGCAGGGTATACCTTTTGCAAGAGATGCAGGAGGACATCTTTGGAGTAGCCACCCTGGGACTCATCCTCCTTCTTGCACTTCCATTTTAGCTAAAAAGATAGATTAATAAAGATTGATCTTTGGCTGAACAAAACCAAACTCACAACTGAGCTGGACAGTCTGAGCAGATGCCTTGCTCATTTCTAAGCACCACCAAAAACATGTTTTCCTGGTGAAAACAGAGGCAGGGTGGCCTGCTTACCCTTAGCAATGCTTCCCACCCTGTAAGTCACTCTCTTTAGAGGGCTTGGGAATGCTCTACCCTGCAATCATCAGGCCTGAAAGCTGCCTTCCATGGCAAGCTCTAAGGGCAGTCCTGCTTTCCAGGAGGCTGAAGGATGGAAAGGATATGGCAGTTGTGGTGGTGACCTTAGAGACTAAATATTTCCCTGACGGACCACTAAAACCACATAAAATCATCTGTTCTTGTAAGGATTAGGTGCTATGGGGTAGCCTACAGATCCCGTCCAGGCTCACCTTTAGTTTGGGAGTTCCTCTGCATTCAGTACTTTCTACCTTTCCTAGAAATATTGGGAAAAGAGGAAGATAAAATATGAGGTTCTTCCAGAGGGGAGGCAGCCAAAAGCCAGAGGACCTAAAAAAGGTTACTTCTGACCAAGGGAAGTATCTGCCCTACCCTACCTAATGAGGGCCTGGTGGGGACATTGCATATCATCCAACCCCATCCTCAGGGTGGCCTACTTGGCTACCTCCCAAGGGTCATCTGTTAGCTCTTTCCAAATGAAGAGTCGGGAGTACCTGCTGGGGGCAGGAAGCAAAGACACAGACCACATAGTTCCACTGAAGCAAAGTCCCCCAGGGCCCTTCCCTGGGGATCTCCTCCAAAAGAGAGCTACTCTGTGTGGGACTAATACTAATGTGGCAGGAGATCCCAAGGGGAGTAAAAAAAGTTCCCCAAGAACTGGTATGTTAGAATATGGTGCCATGGGTTCTAGGAAGTAGAAGCCTCCACAGCCATTTGCTCTGGGCAAGGGGGAGCTGCCCTTAAGGAGAGACAGGGGAGAGTGGTATTCTCACCTCTCAGCCTCTGCTCACGGTCCTGACGTATCTGCTCCTGGATCAGCTTTTGTTGCTCCTCCAGCTGTCGGGAACCCTCTTCTCGTAGGCGTGCAATCTACAGAGCAGGGGGCGGAGGGGGGACAATTCTGTGCAGATCCAATTTCAGGTTGATTCACCTTGTAAAGGTCCCACCTGCACGCTAGGGCTCAGCAACCTGTGGGTGGAACAAATCACCCATCTCCCACAGAAGAACATGGGAAGAGCAAGCCTCCCTACCACAACAGTCATCCAAATCCTTCCTCCCCCCACTCCTCCTGTAGCAGATGGCCCACAGGCTTACCTCTTGCTCTAGCGTCCTGGTGTTCTGGCTCTCTTCCTCCTCCTCACTCCCCCGGGCCTGGGCCTGCCGCTCCCGAGCCTCCAGGTCTAGGCACAAGAGTTGAATGACCCAATCACTGGTCTGCAGTTTCTGCACTGACTCAGATCACCCTAGCTCTGGCTGATAAGACCACACAGTAATTCCTGCCCCCTCCTACCATGCCCATTTGCTCCCAAGTTACTTTCCACTAAGAAAGTCATAGCACAGAACGGGTATGGGATCCAATCAAGTGACAACGGTCTGGAAGAATTAAAACAGTTTACATCAATTGAGCTGGTCCTCTCCAGGCAGTGAAAAGGGTACAGGTGGGCACTTATGTCAGCAGCTCAGGACCTTGAGTCAGGGATGCCTTTGGATAAAGTTTCTGGCCTCTATTTCTGTGGTTTGGCACCATAGCCAGGACTTTGCCTTGGCTTTGACTCATTTCCCACCACTGAATTCAATTTCTCATTGTCTCCCTTACCTCCCACTTGAATCACCTTTACCAAGCCTTACTTGTAGACCTGGTAAAGTGGCTCTTTCAGGGATGGGCAGATTGGCGGAGGATACCTCAGATGCTGGAGACCTCCTGCCTCTCAAGAGAAACTTGCTTGTGGTCCTGTGTCAGGCCAGATGCCATGACAAACCATTCTTTCAGGTCTAGAAGTCACTGCTTTCCTTTTTGCACACTTACTCACATAGGACCTCTTTTTATTTTATTTTTGCAGTTCTGGGAAATCAAAATCATATACTAGGCAAGTACTCAACCACTGAGTT